TTTCTTTTATATATTAAAATGTATTGCTGGTAATTTTACTATAAAAATGTATTTTTATATGTTCATAATTTTTTGTTTTTGTTTGGGGATTCGCTATTGGCCCATAGCTGGAACCCTAACAGGTGCTACCACCCCGGATCTGGGTGAACTTGGAACAACAGCAGTTAAGGTGGGGGTCTCACGCTCCTCAAAACCTCCATTCTCCCGATCAGAGGCCTTGCTGTCTGTCGGATGTAGCTTATCGTCATACCTCGGATTATTCTACTATTTAATCTATAGCTGGTGGAGGAGATAGGTTCATACCTTTCCCAAGGATATTTGCGTGTAACAAAATGTAACGAACCAGATTGGAATTCATCTAATTCCGAGCCGTTATACATTACCTTACCCTCACAAAGAAACTAAGACAGAGCGTATTCTACAGTTGCGTGCCAATTTATATAATGTCAGTGTTTGTTCGTACACACTCCAGAAATTAGAAACTCTAATAGTTTTCATTTGAACCTACATATATGTGAAAACCCTAGTGCTAGAAAGAGGATATTGGGTTCACCAAATATCTGATAGATGCTATAGTTATACCTGCCGTATATAAAGATATTAGCTTGTCATATATGAATCGAGGCATTTGTAGGTTGGTTGTTGATCCGGTTGTCTAACGAAGTAACATTCTTAATATGTAAAACAATCTAGACTTATTCCTGATTCTTTTTCTTTCCATATAATAGTTCTTTCAATTTATTGTTACTCAAAACCCAAATAAACATGATTGCAATGAAACAATGTCGAGTAATCTTACTGTATAAGTACAAACTGCGTAAAAAGAACCACTTTTGAATTGAATCATTACATGCGATGTTGAAATGGATACTCTTTGACAACAGTAAGAGTGTAAGCCAGTGGTTAGATGCAAAATGAATCACCAAAACAATACCTAAAACCTCCACTGCACACTAAAAAGTTAATGATGGTCTTTCAAAGGGGTTATTCATTATTCCGTCTTGCCTCAACGTAAAATAATAACAGCAACCTCGTATTGTAGAGAAATTGATTGTATGCACGAAAAATTGAAAAAGAAAAATCATAGAATTTTGCATAGAGATGACCCAAATTAGCTGCACGACAACGAGTGACGGAACTAATTTCAACTCGGAACTAATTTCAGTTCGGAACTAATTTCAACTCGATTTAAAATCAAAGTTATCAATTTCCGTGAATTCCTAAACAAAATGCAATGAGTTGGTGTTAATGTTTTAATTTACCATTTAAAATCCTTAGTAGATAAGTTAATTTAGAATGCATCTTTTCTAGAAATTAGTTCCGAGTCGAAATTACTTCCGAGTTAAAATTAATTCTGCATCCCACGACAACGCATGGCCGCCCGCTTCTCAATCAACTCTCGAAAAGCTACATAGCCTGAATTATGAAATTTTACCTCCTCCTCCTCCTCCATATTCATCTGATATCTCTCCTACTGATTATCACTTATTTAAGTATTTTGAGCTTTCTATACGCAATAAAACATTCTCCAATAAGGAAGAGGTAATTGAAGCTTTTGAATTATTTATTACATCAAAGGATGAGACTTCTTTTAAAGATGGGACCAAGAATTTAGAGGTACGTTGGAAAACATGGCGACTATTTCAACTTAATAAATTAGTTATTATTTCAGAAGCGTTTTATTTATTTCCTATAAAGTGCGCCATTTCATGTGTGACAATCTAATATTTCACCAAACATTTCGAATACTAACACAGTAAGCTAGCTATGGAGAAGTCATAAATGATTGTTTCCTTTCTAGAAAATAAAATTAGAAAAATGTGTCGCATGCCTTATCTGACCCAGAAAATGAAAGCTGACGGGTGTTACAAAATCTGTCTTTACTTACAAGTCCGATTCGTCATTTTTTGTAAGAAGTGCTTCTGTTTCATCCACGCGTCGGGAAGCTTTCTTTTTTTCACGGTCTCTATCCAAAACTTGCCGTCTATACGAACAGAGTTTCACTGACTGGCCATTGTGTCCAGTAAAAAAGAATAAAAATGATAAAGAACTTCAATATCTGTCTATATTTCCGAGATGAGGTATTGAACTATCGACCTCAAGTGATTCTCTGGCTTTTTACAGGGTGAACATTACTGTAAAAAAATAGATCACAACCATAAAATCCAAAGAAGAATCAGCAATATTATTGGTCCTTACCTGGCGTCTCGGATTCAGTCATTTTCTCAACGCCGTAATGCATCTTCAACTAAGGAGACTGGTTGATTGTTTTATTGTTTTTAGCGACGTATTGTAAATTCATTAATTACTATTACCTTCTCGCTCTAAGATTCTCGGCTGATAATTATTGGAAAGACTATATTGACTCCATTGCTCGGTTTGCTGTTAAGAAAATCGGTTCATTGTATCGTGCTAAACAATTTTTATCTCCAGAATTTATCTTGCATATTTATAAGTGTACCATTAGTTCATGCTTTGAATATTGCTGCCATATATTGTCCGGGGCTCTTGCTGTATATACAGAAATCCTTGATAAAATCCAAAGAAGAATCAGCAATATTATTGGTCCTTACCTGGCGTCTCGGATTCAGTCATTTTCTCAACGCCGTAATGCATCTTCACTGTACTTTTTCTATAAATAATTTCATGGTAATTGTTGGGATGAACACTTCGCTATCGTAGCTAGACTTTATGAATTTAAACGCAGTACTAGATTGGCGGCAAGGTCTCATTTGTATACAACCACTTTCTCAGATGAATAATTCAAAACGTTTCAGAAGACTGTAGGTTTTAGAGAGAACCATCATTCAAACCTCATTGACTGACGCTACAAAACTACAAAGGACTGTACTAAATGACTTTCAGCAGCAGCAACAACTAAAATGGATAGGATATTTAGCTCTAAGTAAATATGTTGACATCCCACATTACTTCAAACAAAGGAGGCCTCATCAATACTGAGAAGAGCAGTAAGTAAACTTGAGAAACCTATTTTCTTGATAAAAAAAAGCGCTTCAGAATTTCATTTATAAATTTCAACCGGAAGTAATACTTATTTATAGGTCAATGAATGTTGAATGTTTCCTTATTAGGAAACGTCTAATACTATCCTTATTCTCTTATTTCTTGTACTTCGCTGTTCGCTTATGGATATGTTGCATCCGGTGATTGCTGGAGATATTGGTACATTTATCTTTTTAAAGATTCTTGATATATCTGCAATGTTATTGGTCCTGACCTTGCATCTAGTCTTCAGTCATTATCCTACCGCCGTAATGTAACTTTTCTGTGCCCTTTCTGTAAATACTTTCATAGTAGTGGTTCTGATGAAATTTCATCTCCAGTACCTAGTCTTGATTAATTTAAGCGCAGTACTGCATTGGCAACAATATCTCATCATTTTACAATTGAATTCGCTAAATGCAACCGTAAGTTCTAAGTGAGTCAGTCGTTCACTTTTGAACCGACTGCTCGGTTGAATTCTCTTCCTACGGACGGGAGCAACCCGAAGGAGGCTAAGCCGAAGGGCGGAGTCTCCTTCGGGGAGGTAAAACCGGCTCTGAACCCGTTTATACGAGTTCAATGGCATATTTTTGGCCGAGCCAACGGGCTCGGAATGCCCACGTTAAAAAGGCCTTGTGCCACATGACACCCTCGTGGGGGGGACTCAATATCGTAAGTTCTATGCTAACAATTTCTTTTCTCGGACTCTCCTCTTGTGGAACTCTTCCGGCTTCCCAGCAAACTTTCAAAAATTTAAATGCAATATCAATCGTCTGTCTTCTGTCTTATTATTCAGGAGAGCGAACAATAAAAGAACAAGTTTTTTTTCTCATCCTCTAACTCAGTAAGCCTTTGCGTCTTACAGTCAAACTCTTGTCCAATAATTTGATAATTTTTGTTATGCTAGGAGGGTTGATGGATTGATTGATTTTTTACAGTTTATCAATACCAATTGTAAAATTATTCTTACAATCCAAAATATATTTCCACTTTAAATAGTGGAAATATATTTTGGATTGTAAAATAATTTTTGGTTAATATTGTATTAATATTTGTAGAAAATGATTTCTACTATTTAACCCATAGCTGAAGTGGTAAAGAGGGAGATTCATATCTTTCTCAAGGGTATGTTCGCGTCAGTGAATATATCGAACCCGACTGGAATTCGAACCGAACTCGGCTCTCCGATTTCTCATTCCAAGGCGTAATTCATTACACCAACCGCACATACAAGCTTACTTCACCTAGTCTTCCCAAGCGGTCACCCATCTAGATTATAACCAGGCAAGACGGTACTTAACTTAAGGAAGCTTAAGTTCCAATGTAACAGTCTACTATATCGCGAATTGCACTACAGTTAAACGAATTTGTTGTTGGTCAGCAGTTCTTAGGAGAAAGAATTAATACTTGTTACGGCTGAGGTGAAAACTTTCAAAGTGAATGGATTTAACATTTTCAAAATAAATTAACTTCAACACAAGAATTGAATGTAAATTTATATAAAGAATGACAATTCAAGACGATAGAGAATATACTTGTGCACCCAGATACCCGAAAAAGGAAGACGAACCATTATAGACCTTGTTGTCAGTTCGCATGTAGGCGATGCACCACGTGGTTGTTTGAGATTAAGAAGTCTTTTTCAACGGAAAGAAGTTATGTTTTTCCTACAACATTCCGGAATACCAAAAAGAGGAAACATGTTGATTGATTGATTATTTTTGTACGAGTTATAAGCCCTTTGTAGGTTATAAACCCTTTAAAACCAGAAAAATTTTTTTAAGCAAATTATTATTATTTCTTTTTTTTTAGATAATAATAATTTAGTGATACAAGTCTTACAAATTAGTAAATAGCTGGGGAAAGAGGTGGTGAATTCGAACCATTCCCAAGGGTATTTTGCGCGTAAATGTATATAACCAAGCCATCGGGAATTGGGACTCTGTTCTTAGGTTAACAACGAGCCATTTTCCATTACACGACTTACACATCTAAGTTTACAGCACCTGGTATTCCTAAGTGGTCACCCATATAGGTACTGATCAGGATCAACATTGCTCAACTTCGGTTATCGTACGAGACCGGTGTTCCAACTTGATGTGGCCGTAAGCCAAGAGTATTTATTGTCCAGTCTTTTTATACTTCTGAATAGCGTATTAGCAAACAAGGTGGGTGTAATCACTACAGGGATACTTAATGAATATGACAGTTGCATATTTCCTAGCGATCTGTGGTCGAAACCGCGCAAAGACCAGTGTTTTGAATACTGATGATCAATGCCAGTAAGCAGGCCTTTTTTGGAAGACTCAAGAAATAGTCAATTCAATTAGAAATTCCCTGAAAGTTTCCCGGATTAATAGACATTTGAAGAAGCGGTGGGAACAACGATCGAAAAGTTGTGATAAAAGCAAAAAGCATTAGTCTTGCTACGATATGTTGATAAAAATCTACGATCTTCTTTTACGTACTGTGTCTTATCAGGAAAATAGATTTGGGTATGACGATAAACTACATCCGGCAGCAATGCCTCTGATCGAAAGATTGAAGGTTTTCAGGAGCCTGGAAACATGTCTTGATTGCTGTTGTTCCTAGCTCCACCCTGACCCGGGGTAGTAGCACTTGTTAGGGTCCCAGCTGCGAAAGTATAAAAATACACTCTTATAGTAAAATATCAATTAATATATATATATATATATATATATATATATATATATATATATATATATATATATTCGCACGCCCCGGTCAAACCTGGGCAGCAGCCAGATAGTATGGTCACTGTCACACCCTCCTATACCAGAAGATGTAACCACACCCGCATTTCTGTCCTCAGGGTCGTAGGACGACGAGTCAATCACAGGGGTAACCTTACGCTGGCCAGTACCGTTGTTGGTTAACTGGTTGCTGGACGCTGGCCGTTTCGATCCACACTAATCTGCCCACGTTCTATTCTTTCATCTCAGAACAGTTAAAATCGAATGTACAAAAATCAACCCTTCCCTCTCAAATTTCTATAGTGACACTTTGCTCTTTTAATCTTTGAACGAGGTTCAAAGTCGGGAATTCTTCCGGCAACCGGTCACGTGGAGTTTTGTTAGCAGCTCGTTCGCTCCTCGTCGCTCGTCTCGTCTCTAACTTCCTGAGCCGCCAACGCGATCTGCTTATATCGAGTCCAGGCCAACTGTGGGGTCGACTGGTCTGGGAATTTAATTGCAAGTATTAGTTTGCCTTTATAACTCAAGTTTTTTCTTATTTATGCCTCGCGCCATTACTTACAAATGAGTGCAGATGAAGTTTTCCTCTTTCTTTTCTTTTCTCGGTATTCCAACTGACACCATCCCCAAGAGGGAGGTTTTCACCATTTATCTGACAATTCTGACTTTTAAACCGAGTGAGCGAAAGTGCGGTCTTATTTAAATCATTGATTTTCCATAACAAATATTTTCCCCCAGTTTTTGGTCTGGTTTGTTCTAATGCACCCCATGCAGCCATTTCGTTCCCGTAACTCTCATGTTATCATGTTATCTTGCAAACAACTCTTAAATGTTCGTTTCTGATTTCAATTTCCTTTTCGAGTGACAAATTAAAACTCATCTTCTAAATTGTTTACATTTTCACAATTATATATCAAATGGCACTTTGGACTGTCAATCGTAACTTCCATTTTTGTTGACGACCATAACTCAACTTTTCTCAGTTGCGTTAAATTCTCGCGCCTAGCGAATAACCCGGAATATACCTTAGCGAATTGCTCCTGCACGCGGGTCTCTCGATAGTCTGTTTTCCTCCCCTGTCGTATTCCTAGGTGACAGTTTTGCATTAACCCGTTCAATTCCACCAGTGTCACACACACACACACACACACACATACACACACAACACACACACACACATATATATTTATTTCAATAAAGGTGCAATTAATTTACAAATTCATGAATTATTCATACAAAAAACAAATACAAAGGTTAATGATTTAATTGGCGAGAAATCCATCGTCGCGAACAATTTAAATAATATACAATAACCCCGAACCTGTTTATGAATGAAAAGATCCTTGTTTCTATAAATTCCTGTTGCATGAGTTCTTATTATTTTTACAAGATTTCGTCTGTTCATACAGACATCCTCAGGTATGGAATAGATTTTGTTCTTGTTTTTTCTCTCAGTAATAAGAGGACAACGAAAATATATGTACTGTTGTAATCCGAAAAATGCTATTAGAAATGAGTTATTGTTTTTGGAGCGTGCTGTCGCAACGCTGAGTTTGAATTTAAATTTTACAATTGTGCGTTCTTATACAAATATGGTGATAAGCGAATTCTTTTTTACTGGTAAATTTTCTGTCAAAGTGGCATGAACTTTATCGTTCAATAATTACAGTCATGTCGCACTTATCCAAAAGTTGCATTTGGATCATTTTATCACAATAAGTAGGGAGGAGTAGATGCGATAGGCAACAATAAACTCAAAATTGATCGCTGCGTTTAAGTATTGCATTAATATTTAAGCTTGTTCAACGAGAATTCTTCTGTCGACACTAAACTTAAAGACAATTTGATGTACGTAGGAACTTTGCGTACAAACAATTATTTTTATTTCGTGGCTTTATTTTATTTTTCTGATTTTTCTGATTAATTTCGATTATTTCCAAATAAATGTCCAAGATAAAATAATTATCGTACAAAAATATCATCGCAAAAAATCAAGTAAGAAATTGTCGAGAACAATCGCAGAAATAAAAACCAGAATTTCACGTTTGCGGGTCCGCATCCGAACCGGAATATTTTTAATTTGCTCGCGGGGTCAGTATAATTCCAAACGGTGGAGTAATTGATAGCGGCTCGGATTGAGGAATCGGAGAGCCGAGTTTCTTATTCCAGTCAAATCCCTTGCATTCACTTATGTGCTAATACCCTTGGGAAAGGTATGAATCCTCTGCTTCTCCCTCCAGCTATGGGTAAATAGCAGGACAGATCAGGTTCTATAGCCTTGGATGTCAACTGGTCTACCGCAGAAAAAAAAATGGCAATCTACTGCGGGAAAAATAATCTACCTCGTCAGTCATGTATCGAAAGATACATGATCGCCTACGTATGTATCGCGCATGGCACACAACTGACTGTTTGATCCTGGGCTCTAGGAGTAATGTGGAAAATGTTTGACACACTGACATTCGCATTTACTATATATATATATATATATATATATATATATATATATATGAATAAAATTGACAATAGGAAAACTGGAAATTGCTGACGCGTTTCGTCCAATGTGGACTTTATCAAAGCAAAATACGAAAATGAAATAGATATATATAAATTACTCCAAAATTCGCTTAAGGATGAAATGGAATTAATGTCTTTAATTTAATTACAAAATGAAATTCGAAGCTTTTAGCTTCCATTTTTGAAACATGGTTAGAACTGTGTAGCGAAAAAACATATTTTAAATCAATTAATTTATAATATTAATGCTCTGTAAATTTACATTGAGAACTATTTTGTAACGATAAAAATATCTATAACAACACCAGATTATATATCTTACTGTTCTTTCTTTTTATTTATATATATATATATATATATATATATATATATGTATGTGTGTGTGTGTGTGTGTGTGTGTGTGTGTGTGTGTGTGTGTGTGTGTGTGTGTGTGTGTGAATGAAGAAATAGCAACAATACATTTTATTTGTAGTTGAAGGCAGACAATTGCGTTCAAACAATATTTAGTTAAAGACTTAAAATGTTCTGAAATATTTAGAGGGTGATATGCGGCTAAACAAAATCAACCAGCCAACTTTCAGAATATCATCGATTATGATTCTCCATAACTTCCTATTCGTTAGAGCTCAAAGCAGTGTTTGTTTGCCCCCATATCTCCCCTAGTTCCTCTTGTCAGACATTTACAAAAACTCTTTAGGTGTGCTACTCCCTAACCTGCCTGTGTCCTTTTTGCCTTCAATATGTTCTGTGACTGCCAAATTCTGTGCCTCAAAAAAAAAAAAAAAAAAATTCCTTTACATAAATAAAAACAAATAAATACTGCGGTATTTACAGCTGAGATTAATCTACGTTTTAAATACTATCAACTTAAAAAGACAAACTTACAATAAGGAATGAAAAATCTTCATTATTTCCTTATCAAACAAAATAACCAATAAGTATATTGGCTTTCTTTTTCGATATATAAAAAAAGAAAAACTTGTCCTTGAACTCTTAAGAAATTTTATTCGTATCATGTGACATACCAAATGCTTCGCCTGCATCCATTTAATGTTGATTTGGCCTACTTATGCTGACAGCCGATAACTTTTTTTTTCTTTTTATCATTCTTTCGGCCTCATTCCCCCCTTTTTTTTTTCATTTCTTCCTCCTGTTTTTACTTTTTCTTATATGTGAATTTTTCGTCTGCTCCCGTATTTTTTTTCTCCTACACCCATATTATTTTAATCATATTTACTCACACCTTAACCATTTCTTTCTCATTCTTCTCCATTCTACTCCATCAGGTTCCTTTTTTTCTAATTTTCATTGTTTTCCTCATTCAAAATATTCTTCTTATCCGTCTCCCTTATTCATCTTCACCGTCTTCGCCACCTTTCTTCGTCGTCGTCTTCCCCATCTTTCTTCTCCTTCCTCATTTTTCTTCTCCTTCCTCATTTTCTTCTCCTTCCTCATCTTACTTCTTCGTCGTCTTTCCCACCTTTCTTTCCCTTCCTCATCTTTCTTTCCCTTCCTCATCTTTCTTTTCCTTCCTCATCTTTCTTTTTCATCGTCTTCCTCATCTTCTTTTTCCTCAACTTTCTTCTTCGTCGTCTTCCCCATCTTTCTCCCTCATCTTTCTTTTCTTTCCTCATCTTTCTTCTTCGTCGTCTCCCCCATCTTTCTTCTCTTTCCTTATCTTTCTTCTTCGTCGTCCACTTCTAACCTTTCTTTCTTCACCTTCCTCTTCTTATTCATCTTTCTTCATCTTTGTCGCCTTTTATCCCACCCACACTTTTCGTCGTCTTCCCCATCTTTCTCTTATTCACCATTTCTTTTCTTTTCGTATCTCCCCTTTTTCTCTTTTATATTCTTTTCATTCTTTCGTCATTTTCTACA